AGTATACATTATATTTAATCGGGTATAGGGTCGGGTTAAGGTTTAAAGACTGATCCTATGAATATTTAGGGTCGGGTTAACTTCGGGTCTAAGTCCGGGTTCAGAAAATAGTTCGAACAACATTTAGGGTCAGGTAAGGACAAACCTTAACCTGTCCCAACCCGGCTCATGCTCACCCCTCGTAAAATGTGATCCCAAGTAACTAGTTTAATTCCTCATAGTTTAGATCTATATACTAAAATGTTATTTCAAATGTATCCAATGTGACATTCTAGATATATCTCATGTTAGTCTATGAGATAAACTTGATGTCTTTGGATTTTTGGTCTTTCATAAACTTAACCCATGAAACAAAACTTTGAGGAAATAAATTAATGACAAATATTTAAGGAACTAAATTACGTTTTACTCCTCAATTTATTCCCATTTCCATGGTCTTCTAAACTCTTTATAGTTGATGCAGAAGCCACAACACGGTTACCCTACCATACTCTCATATTTCTTGCATTCATTCCTAGTAGTTCAATTATTACTTTGGTCCACATTTATTTTATTCTTATCTCTATGGTCGTTTTCTTTTCAGCTATGGAAAATGAAACACATTTATGGCCATTACATTATCTACTACATATTTTATTTTTATTTTGTTTTCATTACATATAGATTAACAAATAGATATTTTATTGTCTTTTTTGATATTACGAATGATATTCCATCATTATTTGGATAATGTACTAATCATTTTTGGGATGTGTGATTATTCTTCCCAACAAATATCATTCTCAAGAATCGAATACTTGATCTTTTGGTCATTGTAGAAATCTAGTCGGTAGATATTTTAATGTGTGAATTGACCTTATGGGCAATCATAATTGAAAAGTCTAAATAAATAGCAAATTGATTGGCAAATTGGAAAGAGCATATGAATGGTCGGCAATTATGTCCTAGACTTTGTTTTCTTGTGACATTTTAATCAATAAAAGCATAATTATATTTCATCTCTAGAGGATATAGTTAGCTTATCTCCTTGGCCATGATTAGATGAATATTTTTCAGCATGATTTTTTCCTCAATAATTTTAGAATGTAATATGTATGAACTATCATGGTAAAATATTTGTATACAGTCGTTATATCATTCATCATTCATTTGTATTACCTTTTTTATGAGTCAATGATGATTAAAAATAAATAATAAACGATGAACCAACAGTATATAAAACTCATACAATGTCACATTATACACTTTTTTCCTCATAATTTTATAATGCGTAATGTGCATGCATTAACTGTAAAAGAATTTATATCGTCAAATACAAGTTTTAAGCTAAGTACAATTCACACGCATATATAATGAATTAATACATTTGACCATATAAAAAACTTTAATATACCACTCTTTTTGTCTATGTTTTATGGCTATTAGCTTTGTGTGATTTGAGATTTAAGACAATCATATGAATGATTGGAATCTCATCCAGCTTATATTTTGTGGTACAGAAAATGAGTAACATGCTGAATTTTATAGATTATGGTTTTATGAATAGAAAACAATGCCTAATTTAGAGGAGCCAATCTCCACTTTATTTTATAGTTTTATATCTTTTTTCCCAAACCAATGCAATTTGTGTTTGATATATATATATATATTACTACTACTCTACATACTAGTTTGAAGTAAAACATGTGAATAATATATCTAGGTTTTATAATTAGATCGTAAATTAGGATTGAAAGTTAGTTATTAGTTATATGATTATCATGCACATATATCTTTTAATCTTGACCGTTCAAATAAAATTTAATAGTTTATATTAACTATTTTCATTTATCACAAAATCACATTGTTCTCACACGAGTTGCAAAATATATATATATATATATATATATATATATATATATATATATATATAAAAGTATGTTCGATTTAACCAGCGTGCAGTTTAATTAATGAATCACTGGTTGAACCACTGTACCACTATACCAGAACCGGAAAAATTTATGCGCTGACACTGTAAAAGTTTTATACAATGTAAGTTCATCATCCACATTTATTTTTTATTATTATCGACCCTTCAAACAAAATAATATAAATAAATAATAAATTAAGTTATGGGTGGTGTAGCAAGTTGAAGAGATGGGAAGAACACAAGGCATGGCAGGTAAATAAGGAACACGTGAGTGGAAGATATGGACACATAAAAATCTTGACTCTCGAGTAAAGCAAATCCACTACACATCCCTATTGATGCTTCAACCACTATATATGCTAAAACCTAAGTGCTTATAAATAAATTGATAAATAAATAGGGTCAAGTTGCCACCAAAACTTGTCCAATATGTGAATCTTTCTGTTTTGGTTTCATTAGATATTACTAGTCCTCCAAAGTTATTTAGCTTTTTTAGTTGTTGTATCATTAAGGGTGATTTTAGTACACTAATAAAGTTTTTAGTTAGTGATTATGAGATTAAGAATTCAAATCTCTGAAATAAGGTTGTGTATATTTACTTTCCTCAAATCTCACTAAATGGGAGTCTTATGCGATGTTTTTATCATTCACTACACATAGGATTAATTATTATACCATTTTATTTATGAATATTTGAAGCAATATTGTGAAAACTGGATCGAACGATTCAACAGTTGACACGACTTAAAAATGACTTTGGTTTGTACTCTTAAACGAATGAGGAATTGAATCACTTTGAACCAAGGAAATTCGGTCCGATCGTATTAAATTTGGTTAAACCGGAATAACCCAGAAAGTGATATGGACGGTTCACTTAAAATTAAAAAAAGTGGAACACTACTCTAATATTTTATTTTGCTCCGGTCCAAAAAAAAGATCTTAGTTCAATATAATTATACATAATTATTAATTATATATAAAATCACTTCGTCTGATCGAACGATTTAAATGTTTAAAACTAATATGAGATATCTTCCAATTTGATGTTCGGCTCGATTTTCACAATATTGGTTTGAAGTATAATTTAATAAATATTTATGTTAATGATGATGAATATAAATAAAGTAATTTAGTATTGAAAATTTAAGTTAAGTGCTTCTCAAAATGTATAAAACACAATTTCTATTAGAAAACTTATCTTTTTGAGTTTTAAAACAAGGTCTCAAACGCACTTGTTAACATTCTTCATTCTTCTTTAGTAAAATGTGCAAAAATATCAACAATGACTTTGATTTGAGCAAAAATATAGGTCAGGTTTGCTCAAAAACAAAAAAAATGAGCCCTTTCACTATTGGGCCCCTTCTTGTGTTGTTTCTTTCAAGTGCCCCATAATGACTTTAATAAGGGTAATGGGGTTTGAAGTCATTGTTGCATAAAGTATCTTCATAGAAAAATGTTTAAAAATCAATAACAAAAAATATGAACATCAACAACAATCAATTCATTATCTCATTAGATAAAATAAAACAATATCATAATATACTATTATAAATCATATTTATTAACAAATCATTGATATATAAGTTTTTTATTATTAATAAATCATGTCCCATCCCTTATATGAAGGAGATATAAACATTTGACACACTTAATAACTAATAATTGAGATTTAGATTAAAAAGCACATCTCTTTAGGGAAAAAGTATGAACTTTTTTGCTTTTTAGAGAGAATAAACTAATGTTAAAGTTAAACTCAAGTAGGCTATTATGAAATATTGTTAAGGATGATATATAGTGTTAATTCTTTAAGGTTTCTAAATACTTGAGCAAATGTTTCATAAATAGGAATGACAAGTTTTGACCAACTCCAAAACCAAAATCCAAAATTCGAACTCGAATTAAGTGGAGTTGAAAACAATGATACTATCCTGAACCTGTCGGGTTTTTGGTAACTCGAACCCGATAAAAACTCGTCTGAAACGTATATTCCTATATGCATAGATTATATATACATGTGAAATTTATATATATATATATATATATGTGTGTAATTTTATAATTTTAAATATATTAATCGGGTTCTGGGTAGGGTATCAACTGTACCAAACCCGAACTCGAACCCAAAAGTTGAACTCGGGTAAAACCCGAACCCAATCATATCAGATTTTCCCCGTTAAATTCAGGTTAGATTCGGGCACATACTCATTGATACGGTTTTCATTGTCATTCCTATTCATAGGGGGTCTTCCAGAAGGAATTGAAATTAAAAAAAGACTAGAAACAACGACCATGCCCTACACTTCCTCTAATAACTCTTCATCAACTATTAGTAAATATTTTTGTCATGAAATAAATGTTAATATAAGGTAGCATGTGATCCAACCAATATTTTACTTCAGCAGTACTGAATGAAATAATTTATAGCTTACCTGTCAAAATATTACATGTTAAGGTACCAAAGTGATGTTAATGAACCTATTTTCATAGTACACAAAATTCATGCCACAAAATGGTATATTAAAATAATATTGTTGTTAGTCTAAGTATAAACACAATCACAAGTTTGAATATATTGAAACATAAGAAGCATAAGAGAGAATTATGCAATGTTATCCTCACAAAATTTTCAATTACATATTTACTTTCCCAAACTTGAATTTCTACTTATCATATGTGCCTTTTTAAAGGACCTATATACCCATTAAAATGAGAGTAGAGGTATTAGATATATGTCCTTATAACAAATAGGCATTACCAACTATGGCATATAAACCCATAAAAAAAACTCATGATTAAAGCTGAAGGATAGTAAAAGGCAATGTTGTGAAACCCGAGCCAGACGTCAAGCCGGAAGAACTTCCGTATTAGGTCTAACCGGTTTAACCAGTTAAGTCGTTCGGTCGGACCGGATGATTTTAAATATAATTAATAATTTTTATCTATAAATTTAAATTTTATATAATTAATAATTTTATATAACTATATTAAAGTATCATCTCTCTATTATTTTTGGACTGAAATAAACAAAACATTAGAATAATGTTCCATTTTTTAAAATTTTAAGTGATCCGTCCGGTTTTCTTCATGGGTTATTCCGGTTTAACCGGGTTTAGCATGGTCGAACCAGAATTTCTCCGGTTCAAAGCGGTCCAACTACTCATTCGGTTAAGACTACAAAACGGAACCGTTTTCAAGTCCGGTCAGCGATCGAACCGGTCGGACCGTTCGGTCCGGTCCGGTTATCACAACAGTGGTAAAAGGTGAATATGAAAACAAAACAATTTGTTGTATTTGAAAAGAGTATCCAATTGCATCATAACCAAGTCTGACTTCTTTAACAAGGAAAGAAATGACTCAGGAATGGAATTTGAGCAGTGAAGGTTGTAGTTATTGAAATGGTTTGGTATATTCAAGTGTGAAGTCACACATTAGATATGAGGATGAATGAAAGAGTTCGTAAATAGAGAAGACATATGAAACCATTGCCTTAAGGTTTTGGTCTAAGACATACTGAGAAGCTGCAATGCAGGGGAAAATGTTGACATACTCCTTTCCATCTTCAACATCTTTCTGCATCAAAAATTTAAAAGAACACCAAGTGATCAAATTCCAATTCTTTTGGATTTTCAGCCCATAATCATCAACATTGTTTATCAAACAGCTATACATACACCAACAAAGCGTTGGTTCAGTAGTGTAAGCTAAGACACCGCTAGATCCATAGGATGACCAAAAGGTCAATGGTTCGATTCCTGTGAGTGATACTTGTTGGGAGGAGCAGTCACACACCCCGAAAGGGATTAATTCATTATGAGAAATGTTACTTTCATTTGAGCCATGCATGTTGTATAACTTACCAAAGCATAATGGATGTATCTTATTTATGCATCTCATGAATGTGTCTCTCTTGTTTATATATATAGATAGATTATAGACAGACACACACTCATGAGTATATATATGTTGAAGAGAAAATCCTATAGCACAAAAAAGTAAAGCACAAAGTTAGTTCTCTAGAATCTTCTTAAGAAGTTAAACATTGGGTATACCTTAAAAAACAATAAATCTTTTAACATCAATGAAGAGAACAAACTTACAGCAAGTTAGCAACTAGATGAAGAGGATGCATTAAGAAGGTCACTTAGTGCATTAAGAAGATTGAAGAATTTGAAGGACTTATTTTTTTCTATCATTGTTTATCTTCAAGTGAGTCATTATCATCCATGTCAAATAGGTCATTCAACCATCTAGACCAGTTACCAACCTCACAAATTTAGAATATATCCCTTATTATATAGAACTTATGACTTAGATACAATATTTAATATAGGATTCAAACATGTCCATTTTGAGGTGGGTACTACCGTTTTAAATTACTAATGTCGTCACAATTATGGTAACGGTTGCGGTTATCGCGATGCGGATTGCCGCTGTTTTGTTGTGAATTATTTTGTAATTAAAACACTATTTTTGAATCTGATGTAGCTTGATGCGGCCTGATACAGTTGCGTTGCGGTCTGATGAGACAACATCATTGTGATTTGTGATTTGGAATCAGACTGCAATTGCGATGTGGTTGTCGTGCCCTACCACAACCACAATATTTTACAATTGTATCATGTGATGACGGTCCGAAATTTAAATGACTGAGTATTATTACAATGGACAGGGCTTTGTTCTTATTAGGGCTTTAAATTATGATCACAGTTATATTGTCATTGCAGGCATCATATTTTCAAGCATAGGAATTTTGTTTTTGTTTTGAGAATTACATTCACATGAATGCAATTATTATTAGAATGATATTTTTCAATATGTTAGACTGAACAATTTTCTGTATGACTGATTTTGATCAATATTTGACAAATATAATTGCATGACCAATATGATTACTGTATTGTGTTTATATTGAGATCAACTCACCGATTTACCGGTTAAACTGACTGACACGAACCAATTTTCATAACACTGGTTTTAATGCATCTTTCACTACCAACACTAGGCGAAATTTCTAGTTATGATAATTATTATAAAAATATTTTTAATCGAATTACAAGCTTTAATTTTTTTTAATATAGTAATTTTAATATCCCAAGTTAGTTTTTAGAAAAGTTAAATATAGTTAGAGTAAGTTTTAAAACTTACTCCACATCATAATCATTAATTTTAAGGAAATCCTTGAATTAGTGACTAGATCTAAACTATTAGATTTCTTAGAATTGATGGCTAAGATGTAGACTAAATTTTTTAAACTTATTCTTAGAGTAAATAGATCTAAAATACATGTTGAAAAGTAAAGTCTCACATCGCCTACCTCATTGTATCGAGAATGATTTAAATATCTGTTGGGCTACTCCTTTCATTGCCAATTGGTTTTGAGATGAAACCTTAACATGATATCAGGGTCATAGCCCAACTTCTTCCTCATTGTCATGGGCCAAAAGATGCTCATTAATTATGGGTCAAAGGTAACCCTTTGTCTGATCCCGCAGAATTATGTGGAATATTTCTCTCATTGCCAATTGGTTTTGAGATGAAATCTTAACATTTATCATATTTAATATTAGAAAATATAAAGCAAGAACTATTAAAAAAAACTTTTATAGGTGTGAACTATAATAAAGACAAAAGGAGTATAATTTAGCTTTCTTGTGTAGTTATTGCTACAAGTATATAAATATACGTTAATTAACATTTTTTATTGTAATTTTAAGGATAAAACAGTCATTTCAATGTAAGGTAAATGATATAAATGTCATTATAATTTAATTTTTGTATGTATTTCAAGAGTACTATCATCTCCAGTAATTGAGAGAAGTCTTATTCATGAATGTAACCTTACAAAAAGTAAAATATATGCTATGTTCAACTAACACTTTAGCAAGCCTTCAAAGCTTCGGTGTATCAGCCATGATCATATAAATAAATAAATATAAACAATCAATTTGGTGTTATATTGATGGTTATGTTGATAAAAGCTAGCAACATAACTAACAATGTGTTGGTTTAGTAATGTAAGACCCTACTAGTTTTTTTGGATGACTAAAAAGTCAAAGATTTGATTCCCGTGAGCAACTCTTATTGGGAGAGACAGTCACGCACCCCGAAATGGGTTAGTTCCTTACCTAAACAATGAGAAGATACTCTTGGTAGTACAAAAAAAATACGAGCATATAACATAAATGCAGTTAGGGGTGAGCATGAGACGAGTTAAGGTTTGTCCCTTACTCGACCATAAATGTTGGTTGAGTCAGTTTCTTGAACTCGGCACCAGATTTGAAGCTAACCCGACAGGAAATATTCATCGAGTCGGTCTTTGAACTTGAACTCGACTCTAGACCTGATTAAATATAATGCATACTCATTTTAGATAAAGTCTTTTCAATATTAATTATTGAGGAGGGATCCATTGACTTCAAGAGTAAGTTTTTTAAACTTACTCTACATCTTAACCATCTCTAATGGTTTGAATAAGTGAGTAGATCTAAACCATTGGATTTCCCTAGAATTGATGGCTAAGATGTGGAGTAAGTTTAAAAAACTTACTCATGGAGTAAGTGGATCCCATCCTTAATTATTATTATGATTATGTAATTTGACATAGAAAATGATATATGTATATATGATGAAAAATTAAAGAATCAATGATATTTTCGACCAAAAAGTGTCATTATTCTATATACAATTGAATAGAGATACATAGAAACATGATGAGTGTGCGACCATGGGACGAGTCCAGCCCGATCATGCTTAATCCTTACCCAACCCTCAATATTGTCTGAATCTAATTTTTGAACTCGAATCTGACCTAGACCCAATAAAACTCGATCCTATTCAGGCCCAATTATAATCAAATCATACCGGATGAGTAAATAGGGTTGAGTCCTACTCACCTAAATGGAGTTCAGTCCCTAATTATATCCTTCCCCATATCCTATTATGGGCTATCTAGGAGCTTTATTAGGGTAACTCAAGTAAGTGGGTCCTATGAAGTGAGGTTGAGCAAGACAATCAGTTGTTGTGCTGGTCAAGGAATTAATAAGTGGTATGAAGTGGTTCATCTAATATATTATGAATGGTTTTCAATACTTTTACTGAATAAATAGATAATGAATTAATACCATTTATTAATACTAGCATGTTGATAGGTATTATTGTGTCCGTCAACCCGCTTTTTCTATTGTTTGTAATGTGTGGTCTACATGCAATAAATAAATTGTGTTATATATATTATAATTGAAGTTGAATATATTATAATTTGCATTGAGTTATATGGTTTTTTTGGTTGAAATTAGAATATAGTGAGGGCAAAATAAGAAATCATTAATTGCACCATGTGTTAAGTAATTATTTTGAGTTTTGACTTTATTAATAGTATAGATAATGTATTGATATCATTTCTGCTCTTTATTAGTAGAAAATATTGAATTATGTATTGTTAGGGTAAAATATTCACATATTTTTTATTTAAGAATCAATAATAAATAATATATTAATGATTGATATTATGATGAAATTTTTTGTATTATCAATGATATCTTTTAACTTTTTTTAGTTATGAATTAATTCTTTTCAGGAGTATGATTATCTCTTCCAATAAGTATCACTTACAAGAATCGAAATCTTAATTTTTTTAAAGATTTAGTGAAACCTTACCATACTAAATCAACATTTTGTTAGTATTTGATGATAGGTTAATAAAAACTCATACATATTTTGTATTGGAATAAATAAACTCTTACAATTTGTAGGAAACAAAAACATAGGAGTAAGAAATTATATTCGTAAGATGGACCATCTCGTTTTCTTTTTCTTCCATGTTTGTTTTAAAAAAATATATGTAGTTTATCAAAAATCAAGTTAAGTTTGAGGAGACTGACCAATGTGTAAATGCAATGTTTTAAAAACTGTGCCGTACCGGCCAGTTCCTGGTGAATCGGACCCCTAACTGGTATGGTACGTATGTTATACCGCATATGTAATAGAACCGGTCAAAACCAGTTGAAAACCGGTCAAAACCGTTGAAAATCGGTGAAAACCGGTCGGTTTGTACATTAATTTTTTTTTTTAAATTTCAAATTTTCAATTCTTCACAAATTCTTCAACTTCAATAATTGATACTTGAGTCATTTATTTGTATTTTGCGTTTGTTAAGTGATAATTTTGGATAAATATATGTTTTGTACTTTAGACTTTGATTTTATTAAAGACTTAATGTTGTTTGTTTGTATGAATTTGAAGTAAATTATGAATATGTATTATAAATATGAATATCTACTTATTTGAAATTTTTTGTTATAGGTTTACATATATATATATAAGCAAGTATGTCCGGTTTAATCGGTATGCGGTTTAATTACTGAATCACTGGTTGAACCATTGTACCACTATACCAGTACCCTAACCGGTTTGATAACCGGTACGGTTTTAATAAGATTGAGTAAATGGAAGAGTCAATAAAAAGAGCGAATGTTTGAGTTCATCTTCAAATCAAAGAAAGGGTTTTATGCAATAATCCTTCACTACTTATGTGTATTTTATTTTCTTAAGATAAAATATAATTAATATAATGATAGATATGCTAACAATGTAAAGGAAAGTGTGGTTTAAGATTGAGCAACATATAATTGGATAGACCTATGAATATATTACTTTAATAATTGAGGTTTAGGAAGGATTACTAGTGGGTAAAAAGACCTGGTCTTTAGGCTCATGATTATATTCACATTAAGCCCAAAATTATAATCATATCGTCTTAATTTTAATGAAATTATACAAATCATTTAATTCATTTTTGTACCTACATAAACTACTCATAATTTATACACTACTACATTACATTGATTATACATGTAAGAAAGATGAATGTAATCTTTTAAACGAAATAATGATGAATGTAATTAAAAAAACAAAATATGATATGTTGTGAAGACAAATACAAGAAAAATGAGTAATTTGTGTAAATACAAAAGAAAAGATTATATATATAATTTCACTAAAACTCAAGGAATATCAGTTTATTCCGTAAAGTTGAATGCTACTATTCATATCCAATAACATTAAATGATTCACTTCTTACATCTTTGAAGCCACTACTATATGTTTATATCCTTTTGTTTCTTTGTCTAGCTTTGAAACAAAGAGATAGGTGTGTCAATTTGTGATTGACTAAGATTAACCTATGTAGAATCTATGTTAACATGTCATATTTTCTACCATTTTTGTGTGCTTTCTATGATATCATATCGCATAATAGGTAATGCCAGAAAACA